ACCGAACCGATCTGCCATATTTTAAATGGATGCGTGATGACGAGGAGACGGTTACGGATTGTTTCTTTTTTCAATCCGCCTAGTTTTAGACGAATGACTGATTTGAGATTTTTTTGACAGCAACCGAACCCAAATCGCGAGTACCCTTAATAATTTGTAAGATTTTGTGTTTTCAATTTGTTTAGATATTTTGTTTACATTTTCAATTGGAAAAGAGTTTAAATATTCTGTTGTGTTTTTAATTTATTTTCAATTTGAAAATCCTTTTATCAAATGACAAATGTTAATATTTAGTATTTTTGTGTATAAAATTTAAAGTTTAATTTTTTCATTTTTTTTTTCAAAATCAAATTAAATAATTTTTTAATATAAAAAGGTAATGAAATAATTTTGATAATTCATGATTTTTTTAAATGTACTTATTATTAATATTTGATAATTTACTTAATAATCTTTTAATTATATCGAGCTGGATTGTTATAAAAAAAATGTTGATAAGTTATTATATTATGTTCAAAATTTATAAAAATTTAAACCGTCAAATTAATTAATATCCATCCATTAATTTGTCAACTTATTCAATTCGCATCCGTCAATCCGATGAACAGATACAAATTAATATTTTTAAGAAAAATGTTTGGTGGCCACAATTTATTTGGCTCAAATAGCCCAAAACTGTTAAAACGACGTCGTTTTAACTTGTTTTGCACTAAAAACAATATCGTTTTGATAGTTTCAAACTGTTCAAGTCACAAAATTTGTGACCACCTAAGACTATTGTATTTTTAATCCACTAATTCGACAAATGAATGGCGAATTTGAGGTTATTCGATCCAAACCAAATCGTGACCACTCCTGACATACATGGTTGTCTATGCAATCTTCGGAACGTCAAATCTCATCCGTTCATTGGTTACCGCTAGTATTTTTAACAATAGAAAATCTGCAACGTACATCGAACAACTACAATTTTTCCCTCTAACAATGATAGAGACCACTAATTTTGGAGCTCTAAAAAGACCACTAATGACATGACACTCAATAAAAAAAGAAAAAAAATACAACACCAAGGCCAAAACATCAAATCATTCCTGGTGGGGCTCACTGCCACATCATTAGCGATAACACTAATTAGTGTTCTCACTCATTTTCCTTTTCCCTCACAAGTCAACAACTTCGTACGCTCTTTAGCGCCAATATTTATTTTATGGATATGGCTTCTGTGCCGTATTGTTGGGTCCGTAGAGCTCCACTACGGGTTTCGTTTTGATAATTTGAATTGTGAATGTATAGAATTCGTTGAGTATTATATGCCTGTAAAAAATCACGTTGATCGAATATCGATAGCTATGTGATCAAAATAATTTTTTGTCAACCGTTAAATCGTTCACCGTCTAATTTTTTTAATATGAATTTGATTTAATCATATAGTTATCGATATCCGATTAACGTGATTTTTTATAAGTATATAATACTCAATGAGTTTTACACATTAAAGGTTCAAATTATCAAAACGGGACCCGTGGTAACCCCTACGGGTCCAACAATATGGTCCAGTCCGATCCCGAACTGGACAAAAGCCATACCCAATAAGAATTTTTTCTTTTAACGAAGCAGAATCTTATGAAAATACCCTCCACCACTGAGAATTTTTCACCCCCCCGCCACTCCACTGTAAGTTAATGCCACGCAAGATGTCAAAACATTTTGCCACATAAGTTATATATTATGGAGTCTTTTGAGAAACAAAAATAAAGCTAATTTTTAGTTTTTTTTATCAATTTTGAATTACATTATCTTTTATATTTTTTATCTATAAAAAGATAAAATTGACTAAAAATCTAAAAAATTAATTTTTTACCAACTTTTAAAAACACCACTATATATACTATTTTTTTATTATATATATTTTAAATTATGTGAATATTTTTTATTTTTTTAACCGTTTTGCGTGAACAAATTTTAAAATTATTTTTTTATAAAAAATTTAAATATATATATAAGACAAAACAAAACAAAACAAAAAGTCAACTATATTTTACTTATTTTTGTTTTTTAACTTTTTTTTCAAATTTTTAAAATTTTTAAATTCGTCTCACGGAGTAAAATAAAAAAAATGAGGCAAAACAAACTTTTTTTTTAATAAAAATTTTTATTAAACAATTACTAGAGTAAAAAACCCAACAAAAGGGTTTTTTTTTTTTAAAAAAAAAACGCGCACACATATTCCAAACACCCACTAAAAATTTAACTTTATTATAATTATTACTCATTTATTCTTTCAAACACACACTCATAAAAAGATTACATTCCCAATCATTTACACTTCTAAACAAACACTCATATTAGGGCCCGCACAATTGGGTTTATTTTGAGAAGTATGAAAAAAAAATAATTTATTATTATTTTTTTGAAAAAATGAATAAAAAAATAGAGAGTTATTAAACTATCAATAGGTCTTAATAATTAGACTTAATTCTCATCAAATTTTATTAAAAATAAGTTTTGGTAAAATTATTGCTAAAAATAATTTTTTTTTGTGACAATTTTTTATATATGTCACTAAAAATTGATAATTAGTGACTTTTTATCATGATTTTTATAAATTATCGTTAAAACTTATAATTAATGACTTTTTTTTTATGACAAATTTTTCTCATAGGATCTATTAGACAATAAATCTACTTATTAAGATCTATACGTAAATATCTCATACAACAAAAATAATTTATAAATTAACTTTTTTTCTACTTTTCGAAATGACTCTTATTCTCTCTACGAATCCAATATATGTGTAATCTATTTGAGTACACACTTATTTGTATTTTTAAATTTACTCATAAAGAGAATTATAGACTCCACATATATAAAGTCCACATATTTATTGTGGAGTGTTTTGAGAAGATGGTTAAATGTTATTTTTTTTTTAAATTTTTTGAAAAAACGTATAAAAAATGTGAGAGATGATCTGGTGTGTTTGGTTTGTTTTTGAGAGAGTGATTTTCAAAAAAAAATTTGAGGAGAGAATTTAGAATTTTTTTTGATTTGTTTGGTTGTATACTTTGAAAATAGTTTTAAAATTTGAAAGTTTGAGATGATTTGATATTTTGTTGTAATTGAATATATGTGTGTGAGGGAAAAAGTGATTGGGAATGAGAGATGTGAGAGAAAAAGTAATTCTGAATTTTTTTTGAAAAAAATCACAAACCAAACAAAATTTTAATTTTTTTTTCAAAAACAACTCTTCTAAAAACAAATCAAACAAGCTCATACGACTCAAAATAAATTAAAAATTAAAAATTAAAAAACAACTTTTAAGTTACTTCTTAAAAAAAACTTGCATGCTTACAAGTGTAAATACGTGTCTTATCTTTTCTCCTAAAAATTTTGGTCATTGAAATTACTGACATCAAATATAAGAGGAATTGCAATCTCATGAAGACGAGCTAACTCTAAAATTCGTATTCCTCAGTTTGGCTTGCTAGCACGAAGTTGGCACAACTTTTTACAACTTCGGGACACTTTGAGAAGATTAGTAAAAAGTCAGTTTTTTTGACTTTTTAATTTTTTTTAATAAAAAAACTTAATTTTTTTTATCAAAAATAATTCAATTTTTTTTTGTAAAAAAAGTCACCAATAAAGACAAAAAGTAAAAAAATATAATTTTTACCAACTTCTCAAAACACCACTTCATGGTATATTCATGTATTGGCCCACAAGAGTTTAAATTTCTTTAACTATTTCAAATTTTACTTCGGCTAAAAATCAATGTTTTTTTAGCACACAAATATCTCTTCTAGGAATAACATTACCCAACTCATAATCAAACATACAATTCAAAATTTCATTCAAAACTCATAAATTTTTTTAAAAATTTTCAAAATTTTTTTATTTAAAATATAAAAAATAATAGGTGCCAATTGTAAAAACTAAAAAATAAAAATAAAGATAAAACTGTTCCGGTCAATCGGGAGGATGACCGGTTAACCCAAAATTTTTCGTCTTGGAAAGAGTTTTCAAAAGTGAGTGTGAAATTAATTTTTGAAAACTCTGAACAAACGGTACACTCAAAACAAAAGGGTAGAAATGTGTTTGGCAAACTTTTCCAAACACAGATTGAGTTTTTTATTTTTCGTATTTTTTTTGTTTTTAGTAAATATTTTTAAATTTTTAAATATTTTTTTTTACTTTTTTAGATGCACCTTAGTTAGATGTATCTAAAAAGTAAAATATTTGTGAAAAAATATTTTAAAAAATTAATAAATATATAAAAATAAAAAAAATATACTGAATTTGTATATATATATATTTTGGTATTTAGTGAATTTTTATAGGATTTTTTTTACGAAAATTATACTTTTTAAGTGTATTTATGTTAGTTGTGTCTAAAAATTAAAAAATTCTTAAAATATTAAAAAAATTAGAAACAACATTGAACTTATAATTACCAAACTATTAAATAAAAATTCAATATGAAAATTATATTCTTGCAATACTATTTTGTGTTTGATAGGTTTTCTTTGGGTTATTTGAGAAGTATGTTAAAAATTAATTTTAATTTTTAATTTTTTTTAAGCAAAATGTGTAAAAAAAATAAAAAAATAATATCATATAAAAGAAATTAAAAGTTAAGAAAGGCTTGGCTCACTCGAGCTTCCTGGAAGATACACAAAAGTCTCACGATCAGACGGTCAATCAATGACCTCCGACACATCTATGAATTTGAACAGTTGGATTGAAACTTACAACATTCACCGTACGATGGTGTCATCAGGCGAATCCTACCGTCCAATATTTACAAAATTGAATTTCAAAAGCTCGAGAGGGAGGAGCGACAGACACAAGCGTATTTGCTCCTCTCTCTCTCTCTCTTCTCTTCTCTCGTCTCGTACCCCTTTCGATTTCTCTCTCTACATCTTCGAAAACTCTTATCTCTCCTCTCTCTCTACCTATACATACATATACTCCTATGTATATACGTGTAGCCTATACGTGATCGAGGTTTCAATGATTCAGGTCAATCCAAGACTGTTCTTCACCAACATTTTTAGTCTGATTTCGACTCGAATCTTAGCTATGAAATGACGGAGTTTCGGATTTTCCAATTGTGTTTTGAGCGAAAACTCGATTTCAAAGCTGTTGAATTTGAAGGGGATTTGTGGAATTTGTGTGATTATTGGACAGAAATCAGTGAATTCGAGTAAATTTTTTGTTTTTTTTGGGTTGAGAGTTTGAAAATTTGTGAGTGTTGGATTTTGATTTTGAATTTGAAGTTGATGGAGAAAGGCGAAGGAGGAGGGGATTTCCCTCCAAAAAAGTCTCAATCGCACACGCCCGTGTTGGTAGCCGCACCGACGTCGGATTTTCCGGCGAAGAAGCTTGCAAGGCAGCTGGATTTTACGGGTTTTGGTGGCACATCGACGGCGGTGGTGTTGCCGGAGCACCCTCAACAGCCGGCGGCGGCTCAGCCACTGCCGCCGCCACAGCAACAGCTACTGGCGATGCCGATGCAATCTCAGTCGCCTCTTCCTTCAATTCGGCCTGTGTAAGTCTTCAATTATCTATTTTTCTTGCTCTTTTCATTCATGAAGTTTCAAATTTGTTTAAAAAAATTGGTCCTTGGAAGCTGAAGTTCTCTAATTTGTGAAAGGATCAAGGGTTTTTGATGTTCTGGTTGTTTCTGTCAAATTTGGTTATTTAGTTTTAATTTTGTAAGATCAATCATCATTGTGCATTGCCCATTTTCGAGATGCGATGGGTGGTTTAGAATGTCTCGTTTTGATTATAATGTGAAGGATCTCGCAGTTAAACTCCATACACATTATTTTTTTCTTCATACGAGTTGGGTTTGCACAATTGACTAATTTATAGACTGAACTAGATGATTTATAGTCGTTGTTCTGAACTAGATGATTTATAGTCGTTGTTCTGAACTTATGTTGAGGTTGATTTTGTTTATTTTTTCCTTGATGGTTTGATCAGTCCTTTTTTCATATGTTAAACCAGAAAACTTAATGACTTTTGTTCAGAATTTGGTTGTATTTGTGTATCTCATAGTCCGTTGACAGGAAACTTAGGTTGTGTTTGGACTTGGACCTTGGATTTGTGGAGGGAAAGGAAAAGAAAAGAAAATTTAGCTTCTCCTTCATTCACTTTTTCGATGAATCCATGATCCAAACCCAACAATAGAGAATCCCTGATGGAGGTGAGTATTTGTGGGATATTTTTTTCTCAAATTTCCATAGTTTTAAATTGTGTTTTTTTTTCCATGTATAATAAATCAGATGAAATACTGATTTTTCAACCCCGGAGTGTTTCCTTCGTTTTTTATTTTTTGGTCCATGGGAGGCCATAAGACCAAGAACTAATGGTGGGTGATACCAGTTATGTCTTCCCTTCAGGGAATCAGGATAGGAAGCAGCCCCATAGGAGGATTCACGAGGGCTTCGCAATTCACATCTGGAGTTTTCCTTTTCTTATATTTGAATTTTTTTTTTGAATTTTTTTGCCATATTTTGTATTTTTGGTTCCAATTTTCTTTTTTATTCAGTTTGTCTAGTATAATAAACACCTGTTAAAGTAATTTTCCTCTACATAACCCTGCTCTATAAATCTCGATTTTGCATTTGCTTTCTCATTCTCTAACAGACATGCATTAGCGTTTAGGTTTTCAACCTCATACTTTACATTCCTTTCACAAGAAAATGAGCTACAAGAAGTGAATTAGCTACTCTCTCTCTCTCTCTCTCTCCTTATTGTTAATAATATTGGAGCAAGTGATACCCTATTATTCTGAATGCTGATTTATATTTTGTTTCCCTAATACGTTAAGATATTTTTGGCACAAACTTTAATATTTGTGATTCCTTGTACACGAATGCACACATATAAGTAATTAAGGAATGTAATATTGTCCGCAAGACTTGATGTGAAAGCTAAATATCTATACATTCTAGTACTAATTAAAATGGATTTCTTTCTTCAGAAAACCAGAGTCCCCTAAAACGCGGTCGAAAACAAATGTCGAAGTAAAAGAGGGTACTCCGAAGAAGCAAAAGCAGTGTAACTGCAAACACTCAAAATGCTTGAAATTGTAAGTACATTCCTCTTTATATGCACGTTTGGTATGATGAAAGACTTTATCATAGAGCCATGTTGTCTTGCTTTAGAGTTTCTGTTGTAAAATATTTATGTAATTTTTTGTATTGTTCTATCATAAATCTTCTGCATGGAAGAAAAATCACGAAATATAGTTATTTCCTTTTTCGTTATAATTATGAAGGAGTTTCATGTTTCTAAGGATAGATGCAAAGCTGCAATTTTATATGCCTGGCTTGGATTAATGAAGTACTATTTTGCTAAAAGTTAGATACTCCGGAATTTTTTTAATGCTTTGAAATTATTATACTTGTGAGATTGAAGTATGACACCCTCACTCTTCTCTCTCTCTCTCCACTTCTGTGTGTTTATGTGTCATCCTTCTTTGTTTGAACATGATCTTTTGTTTTAAATTTTTTAACAAAACAATAAAATAGAGGTTTGCTATGTTGGGTAGGCTAGGTAGGGTTGACAAACCATCCTAAGGCCTAACGGTGCAATGGCTGAAGGCTAACCAAGCATATGTTGGTTCTGCATACACACTCCTTTTTGATGCAGTGACAAGAACACTAATTGATTCCATTGATGAAACTCTAAGAAGCACAGACACTTCTAAGAAGTGACGTATCCGTGTTGTGTCCATGTCGGATACCGACACTGTTTGGACACTTCCCCGACACGTGTCCGACACTATTCAAAATGTGTCCTATTATTTAATTTTTTTAAAGACCTGGACACTCTTTGGACACTTACACACATGTCTATCGCTTAAACACACGTGTTTATCGATTAAATATAGATGAAACTAATTATAAGCTTCAACAAAACAACTTAAGATATAATAATAAACAAAATCATATAAAGTTATAGGAATCAGTATCATATTGCATTTTTTATTACCTTTGAATAATGTATTCATATATAGAACATATGATAAACATATAAAATTATATATTTTATGCGTGTTTTCCATGTGTCATGTCCTGTATTTTTTGAAAATTGGCTTGTCGGCGTGCCTGTGTCGTATTGGTGTCGTGTCGTGTGTCCATGCTTTTTAGATGAAACTTCTTGGAGAATGTTTTGAAAAAAAAAAAAAAAAAAAAAAAAAAAAAAAATAGTAAAAAGAAGAAATTTGAAATATCCTCTTATAGTAGGAATAGAAATACTCGCAAAGGCAAGTCATATAATGAAATTGATATGAAAACGGAAAAGTTTTATTTCATTTAGGGTTAAGGTTTTATGCCATAGTTTTACAATGGTCTAAGTTGTGGTGTAACCATATTGGAAGTATCGGCAAATGTGTGATAGGAATTGTAAGTCAAACTTGTAATTTTTTTTCAAGTACAAGCAAATGACAAAAAACTCATTTAAAAGCATGTTCTGACCTTATTTATTATAATTTGAATGCTTGTAATGATTTTTGGTCAACATTGTCACACCTAAAAACATGTTTTATAAATGATGTTGAATTTTATGTTTTTTTTTACGTCCAAAAAGTGGATAATTTCATCTGATAATGGAATTTCAGTATCTAGAATAATTGCTACTATTATAGATAATTTATAAGAATAAAGCAAACATGAGCCAATATGTATTGGTACAATGATAAAATAAGTAATAACAACAACATAGAAAACTTATGGTACATCACACCAAATCATCACAAACACGAACAAAAAATATCTAAAATCACCTAGATCAGTTTCAACACCGAAAAGAACCACGGTCTTAAAAATTAAGATTAGGTTTGAATCTTGAAGATTGAAGTCCCCAATTGAGTAGATCCAAGTATTTCAAACAAAATAAGAGCAACAACAGAAATAAAGGAAGCAAAATGGTGTAAAATGTGACTCAGTCACGTTTGGATGTGTTTTATGTTGACAGAGGCTGCATTGGCCATGTGAGTTACAATAACAGCTATAAAGTTCAATACGGACAGTTATGGTGTGGTCATGGTCTATAATGGCCGATACGAGTATGTTTTTTTTAACACCTTTATATTATCATGTATCCATATTAGGTCTTCAGAAACCCGTTTCGTAACAGCTGATATGTTATGTAAGGAGCGTTTTTAAAGGACAAATGTTTTTATTTTTATTTTTAACTTAGCAATAGTAATGAACAATAATCCAATTAAAAAATTTATCTTGTGTCTATAATATGTGGATTGCTTTTCAGGATAATGTCTCTACTAGTATATGTATAATACATAAAAACTTGTATTACTGTGATCAATTGAGTATGCAGGATGACCAAGATCTCAATTTCAGCCCGTTTCAATCTCAGGTCAGGGTTGGGCTAAAATTTATCATCCCAGTTCCAACAATCCTTCGATATTATCAGCATCCCATTTATAGGATTATAAAGATATTTTCAAACATTTAAAAGATGAATATATCACGTGCGTTTCAATGTTCTTCAATTATATTACATTCTTTAGAATGCAATTGTTATATGCATGATATCTTGATGTTTTAACTTACGGAATTTATGAGCTTTTAATTTTAAGAGTTATATTATTTTTTTCAATTACCCTCAACTATTCATACGTTTGTCATTTAAAAAATTTATAAAAATATAAATGTTTTAATGTGTCTCAGGCGTATTGTGTCTTGCATTTTTTGAAAATTGCCATGTCAATATGTCCGTGTTTGTGCTACTTGGGCTCCTAGGCAGTCAAGAAGACTAGTCCCTATGTTCTTAAGCATTTTAAAAAATATTACCTTCCAGGCTTATGTAAAGTTAAAGCTATATAATTTTGTAGTGACTGATGATTTTTGGATCGTTTGACATTCTCAATGTGCTCAGTTGTCTTTTGTTTAGTTTTATAAGTGTATGCAGTATGATTTCAAATCTGAAAATATATTGGTCAGGTATTGTGAGTGCTTTGCATCTGGAATATACTGTGATGGATGCAACTGTGTAAATTGTCATAATAATGTTGAAAATGAGGCTGCCAGGCGAGAAGCTGTTGGAGCTACCTTAGAGCGTAATCCAAATGCATTCAGGCCAAAAATTGCTAGCAGTCCGCATGGAAGTAGGGATAGTAGGGTATGTATGTCTGATAATGCTTGCATGTGCTATTTTATGAAAATGTGTTTATAAATATTTGAGTTATAGATACTGTGATCACCTTATGCTTGCATTTAAACGTTAATTAGAAAAAATAAATGTTAGTTATTCTAGCTAGTTTGTCGTTTTGACGCTGTTAGTAATCCATAAGGAGATTTCTTTAACTTCTCTTGAGCTCTTAGATCTTCTAAGTTACCTTTATTGTTTCATTGCAGGGTTATCATATAGATACAGTTCCAGTTTTTTATTCAACTTTCTGCTAAAACTCCCAATAAAAGTTCTAAGCTTGGGGTTTTTGGGAGCAGTGCTTTATACACTTTAACTGTTTTGTGCGGTAAAGAGAGAAATTAAATCATAATTTGTGCAGAGCTTTGTAATGTAACCAAATTCATTTTTCTTCTGCAACAATTTCGTTCAGCCAGGGCTCCTTGCTTTGAGAATCGATTAACAATGCATCTGTTATGGCCTGTGTCCTAATTTTTAATGTTTTGTACAAGTCTATGTGTCTCAAATAAAGACAGATTTTATGGTTAGGCATTGCCATGTATAAATATTTGTACTTGATGTTCACAAATTCCCCTATTTTGTTCACAGGGTAGTTTGATGTAGTGCATCCCCATTTTATCTGCATATCTAGGATGGTAGTCCTGCTCTTGTTTGCAAAATATGCAATTACTGTTGGTATTCATTGTCAGTCTAGATCATAAATGCCGCAATATAATTGTTTCCTATCCTTGTGCTCATAATTTATCAAACACAAACCAAAAATACTAGAAATTCCAATTGATTCACAATTTGGAATACACATTTGGAAACATGGTAGACTCGTCTACGCTTTATTAATTACCCATGAAACTTCTATACTTTGTTCTAATTTTTCATTATTCTTTTATCTATAAGAAGCATAGAGATTGAAATCTGATAAGAAGAGTTTTTCAAGAGATGGTTTAAGGAAAAAATCATTACATTTCTTAGCTCAACTATTATAGGATTTACCGGTTTACATGATTAAGTTCAACATAACAAACTAGTTTCTGAAAGTATCTATGCAATTTATGTGTTGCAATAACAATGTTTCATTATTTTTGACTTGTTAATGCAGAATCACTTGTGCTTCTACCAGTACCCCTTGCTTAAGCAAAATCACTTATGCTTCTACTAGTACCTTAACACAATCCAACTCTCCTACTTATTACATTATTACACAATGTACCATGCTTTTGTCCCAATTCATGTACCAAAATGATTCAAGTTCTTTGTTGAATTGTTAACTACCAATTCATCTAAAAGCTCATGTTGTTAGAGAGAGAGGGGGTAACTATATTATTTATATACACCCCATCACGTGTGGCCAAACTTGTGCAAATAATTTAATTATCATGTAGACAGTGAAGTTTGAATACATGATTTATTGACTGCTCTAATACTATGTTGAATTGTTGACCACCAACTTATCTAAAAGACTAAGCGGTTAGAGAGAGAGAGAGGGGTGATTGTGTTATTTTTATCCTCAACATTCTTGCGGCATTGATTGGACTTTCAAAGTTTCTCTAGGGTGCTGCATCATTGTAGAAATTAGCAAATGTCCAAGTGGAAGAAAATCAAGGAAGTGTCCCAGGAAATATTCCCTGCTATATTTCCTGAAAACCTTCACCACAACTTAAAGTTGCAATCTTGGTAAATGGTAATCCATGCACTCACAAATTATAAATAGGAAAAATTGTAAACATCCAAATACAAGGAAGTTACAAAGAGATTGTAAAATAAAACTCAAGCTTTTGGTTAATGATGCTTTGAGTTATCTTGGTTGGTGCTTATCAAAAAGGCAACACAGTTCATGAGGCTCTTGTTAAAGCATGGTCTAGGGATGGCAAGATCTATGCAGCTGTACCCCCATTTCTGGACGGGCTGTTTCCATGTTGTTGCTTATCAATTTTTTTTTTTTTTTTTAAAAAAAAAAGAAATAGGAAAAAGAAGTGATCATGGTTGGTAAGTGTTTTTCTATGGCGGCACCTCTATGTCAAAGTTCCAATGAATGGAAGAACCAGTTGTTTAAATAAGATTCTTGAGCACGTAAACAATGCAGTATAACTTTTAACTTGGGCTGTTAATGGGCCTAAGTATGTTGGTGGGAGAGAAGCAATCTAGATAAGGAATTTTTTGTAAGAAATTCTGAATGTTTAGTATATTCAACATGTATATCAATTACATCAAGTTTATATAACCCTAACAATGAACCAAAAAGGTAATACAAGAATCCTAATGCCTAAAACAAAAAGGAAATACAAGAATCCTAATGCCTAAACCAAAAAGGAAAATACAAGATTGACATCACAACCTTTCCTAATATTTACGCAATCATGCCTCATTTATACGATGCCTAATATATACGATTATATGCTCACATTCCCACTCAAATTCAAGGTGTTTTAGTTGAAAACACGAAGAGTTTGTCAAGAAGAAACTGAAAACGAGCAGTGGTGTGAGTCTTGGTGAAGAAGTCGGTAAGCTGTAGAGTCGAAAGGACAAAAGGAAGCGAGATAGAGCCAGACTGTAGGTGTTGACAGACGAAGTGACAATCAATCTCAATGTGCTTCGTTCGTTCATGGAAAACAGTGTTATGAGCAATTTGGATAGCACTTCGGTTGTCACAGTAGAGAGAGGTCGGAGAGGACCGAGGAACACCCAAGTCAAAGAGGAGACAACGAAGCCAGACAAACTCAGCAGTAACATGAGCTATATCACGGTACTCAGCTTTGGCAGTAGAACGGGCAATAGCGGTTTGTTTCTTACTTTTTCAAGAAATCAAGGAATCACCAAGAAATATACAGAAACCAGAAGTGGACTTATGATCAGTCACATCACCAGCTCAATTAGCATCAGCATAAGCTACCAAATCTAAGGAAGAAGTAGAAGACAACAACAAACCTTGGAAGATAGTACCACAAAGATAACGAAGAATTCGAACCAAAGCAGCCCAATGCGGAGAGTGAGGAGCAGAAACGAACTGGCTAACCACATGAACAACATAGGTAGGATCAGAACAAATAACTGTTAGATAGACTAAGCAGTCCACAAGCTCACGATACAAAGTAGGATTATCCAGTGGGACACCATCAGTAGTGTTAAGCTTCATATTAAGCACAATGGGGGTATCAGAAATCTTAGTGTCAGTAAGACTGGCACGGTGAATAACCTCATTGGCATATTTGGCCTGAAACAGAAAGTAGCCTTTGGGAGAAGAAGTTACCTCAATACCAAGAAAAATACCGCAATGGTTCCAGATCTTTCATTCCAAAAGTGCGGAAGAGATGCTATTTGACCTCAGAGATAGCAGAAGGGTTAGAGTCAGTAATGATCATATCATCCACATACAGTAATAAGGTAACAAATCCAGCAGAGGTGTGAAGAAGAAATAAAGCAGAGTCTTGAGCACAAGATGAAACCCAAGTGCAGTAACAACAGTCTGAAAGTGATCATACCAAGCACGAGGAGACTGCTTTAGACCATACAGAGCATGCTGAAAGAGACAAACCTGTCTAGAGGAAGAGGAAAGGCCAGGGGGAGGACGCATGTAAACCTTCTCGGTGAGATGGCCATTAAGAAAAGCATTATTAACATCTATTTGATAAAGAGGCCAAGAACGAATAGCAGTGACAGAGATTAAAGTACGGATAGTAGTCATCTTGGCAACAGGAGCAAAGGTCTCCTCATAATCAATACCATACTCCTGTGAGAAACTTTTGGCAACCAGATGAGCTTTGTAGCGCTCAAGAGAACCATCAAAATGAGTCTTGACTTTGTAGATTTATTTGCAACCAACCAGATTCTTACCATCAGGCAAAGGAACCAACTCCCAAATACTAGTTTTTTGTAAAGTAGATAACTCATCCTCTATAGCTTGAATTTAATGGGGATCCTGACAGGCCTTCGTGTAAGACTGATGTTCTGAAAAAGAATGAATAGCAGACAAAAAAGTACAATAAGAAGTAGAAAAACATGTATTAGACTAACCCAATTTGTTTGGAGGATGACGTGCTCGAGTAGGATAGTGGTGTGCAGGAGTATTAGAGGCGTCAGAAGCAGGAGGATCATCAGTAGGAGCAAAGACAACTGATGAAGGGAGAGCCTGGTGACGCGAATAAACTAACAATGGAGGAGGAGGAGGAGGAGGAGGAGGAAGAGAAGGAGGAGAAGGAGTAGGCTGGGGAGACGGAGGAGAAAAGGGAGTAAGGTCATGAGGAACAGTAGAGATGTACTCATCAGGAGGGACCTCAGAAGGAAATGGATCAATGTGAACCAAATCCTCTTTGGAAACTGGAGCAGTGGTAGGAGGAAGTTGAAAGTAAGGCAGACGTTCGAGAAAAGAAACATGACGGGAGACATAAAGACGATAGAAAATAGGGCCGTAACATTGATAGTCTTTCTGAGTAAGACTATAACCCAAAAAGACACATAGGACAGATCGGGCACTAAGTTTGGTCTGATCTTTACGGGGAAGGACAAAACAAACAGACCCAAACACATGAAGGAGAGAGCAATTGGGAAGTTGAGAGAACAGAGCCTCATAAAGAGACCGACCAGAAAGAAAGGGAGTAGGCATGCGATTAAGAAGAAAAGCAGCAGTAAGAACTGCTTCGCCCCAAAATAAAGCTAGAACTGAGGTAGAGAGAAGAAGAGACCTAGCTGTCTTAAGGAGATGGCGGTGTTTACGCTCGGCTCGACCATTTTGGGCAGGTGTATCAGTACAAGAAGTTTGGTGAATGGTATCCAAATTGGCCAAATACTCACATAACCCAGTTTTAAAATATTCCCCACCCAAGTTAGATCGTAACAATTTAATGGTAGCCCCAAACTGCGTTGTAATCATAGATTGAAATGTACGATATATTTGGTAGAAGTCAGATTTATGAGTCATAAGACAAACCCAAGTATAACGGGTGTAATCATTAACAAAAGACACATAATATGCGGAATCT